TACCCTGTCTCAAAAACAAATAAATAAAATGGGGATGCAGAATGGTGATTTTCAAACAGCTATTTCTTATACATTAATTAGGTGGCATTATTCATAAAGATGAGCAGTCCATTTTATCTATAAAGGGGGGCTTTAATTAATTTTAAAATATTTATTTAGCCTTTCCTGATAATAAAACTCGTGTTCAATATAGACAACTTTCAAAAATATAGAAAAGACCAAAGAAAAGCGTATTAACTCATAATGCCACCATTCTTAGCCACTATTAACATGTGATGTGTATATATCCTTCATTCTTTTTCTATTTATATGTTTTTGTTTATTTGTTTTTGTTTGTTTTGAGAAGGAGTCTTGCTCTGTCGCCCAGGCTGGAGGGCAGTGGCACGATCTCGGCTCACTGCAAGCTCCGCCTCCCGGGTTCACGCCATTCTCCCACCTCAGCCTCCCCAATAGCTGGGACTATAGGCGCCCGCCACCACGCCCGGCTAATTCTTTTGTATTTTTAGTAGAAACGGGGTTTCACTGTGTTAGCCAGAATGGATGTGTATTGTTGTATAAAAGTGGGATTGTACTCCATCAGCTTTTGTGAAGCCTGTTTTTTTACTTATGATTTTCAGATATCACTGAAATCTTATATGACAACTGTTTTTTTTTTTTTTGAGACAGGGCCTCACTCAGTCACCCAGTCTGGAGTGCAGTGACACAATCTTGGCTCACTGCAACTTCCACCTCCAGGGTTCAAGCAATTCTACTGCCTCAGCCTCATGAGTAGCTGGGATTACCAGCTGTCACCACCATGCCCAGCTAGTTTTTGTATTTTAAGTAAAGACCGGGTTTTACCATGTTGGCCAGGCTGGTCTGGAACTCCTGACTTAAAGTGATCTACCTGCCTCGGCCTCCCAAAGTGCTGACAGCCAATGCACCCACCCCTTATATGAAAACACTGTTAATAATTTTATAGAATCCTATATCAAGGAGAATGATCATGACCTATTTAACATATCTACTATTGTTACAAATTTTGGTTACTTCCAATGTTTTATATTGTAAATACTTCTTCAATGAGTATTCTTGTTAACTCTTTAAACCCTTTTTGAGTATTTCTTGTGGGGTTTTTGAGTTAAAGCCTAGGTAAAACAGTTTAAATATTTTAATATTGTGAATTTCTGTGAGAAAGTTTAGTATGTTCAAACTTTGATAAGACAACTTCAATACAGTGAGACTTTAAAATCATATTCTCACCCATAAGACAGATTCCAAAGAAGAGACCCAGATATCTCATGTACCTACTGGGATTATTGTGCTGTTTGAGAATGAGCTGCTTACACAGCATTTCACTAAAGTTTATTATAACTCTAATAAGCAGGTTGTCCATTAGATCTAAGAATCTGAACAAATTGGTGACATGGTCTCTACAGCAATGAGTCAGATGCTGTTAGAATCTGGTCAGGCGCAGTGGCTCATGCCTGTAATCCCAGCACTTTGGGAGGCCAAGGCAGGCGGATCACCTGGGGTCAGGAGTTTGAGAGCAGCCTGGCCAACATGGCGAAATCCCATCTCTACTAAAAATACAAAAAAAAATTAGCCAGGCGTGGTGGTCGGCACCTGTTATCCCAGCTACTTGGGAGGCTGAGACACAAGAATCGCTTGAACCTGGGCGGCAGATGTTGGCAGTGAGCCGAGATCATGCCACTGCACTCCAACTTGCGTGACAGAGTCAGACTCTGTCTCAATAAAAAGAAAAAAAAATTATCTGTGAACACTCCACAGAACGATCCTGCAAAATGGGCCAGTCTCATGCAAAGGGACATTTTCACAATCACTCTCATTGTGTTTCTGGTGTAAGAACCTTAAGCTAAAATCACCTTTTTCTGATGGAATTTTGGTTATGGGCAGTACGAAAATTAAAGGCACAATTCAAAGACAGGGAGCGGTGACTGCATCTGATGGATGATAAGCCAGAGAAAATAGCAGCCAACAACCCTTACACATAGTGTACCTGGCCCTGTGCTAAATGCTGTGTCCATGTTGCCTCATTTAAGCCTCAGGACAAACTTCTGAGTGAAGTGCCATCATTACACCTGTTTCTAGCTGAGACAAAAAAAAAAAAAAAAGTAGAAGTTAAAAGAAATGACCAAGGAAAGTTCTCCGTGTGCGTTAAGTTTTCTATGTGGGATCCCCTGGAGAGTGGGGATCCTGACTTATTTTTCTCAGTCTCCCCTGGCGCTAGCCAGAGTGCTCAATTCATATCACTAAATGATTGTGAAAGGGAAGTAAATGTAGATTTCTGGATTTTTCATTCTATCAGGTGAGCTTGGAGGAATATGCTTCAGCAAGAGGCCACATGCTTTTACCTCACAGGTGACAGAGGGATCATGCATGAAGACGGCTACTTCTGGTTGTCTGGTAGAGCTGATGATGTTGCCAATGCATTGGGTCAGAGATTGTGAATGCTGTGGTTATTGCTATTGAGCCTGGGGCTGTGGGAGTCTGGATAAGACTCTGGACTGCTTCCAATACATAGGAATATCTCTAAAGTGTAGAAAATGCAAACAACCAAAAAAAAAAAAAAAAAAAAAAAAAAACCTCATCCACAATCTCATATTTTGGAGTATATTCTTCTAATCTTCTTTCTTCTTATATGTAACTTTTTTTTTTTTTTCTTGGTAGAAGTGAGTTCAGGGAGAAATGCTCTAGCATAACTTGCCTTTTTCACTCAACGATGTAATAGAAACATTTTTCTGGGCAATTAAATATAAAAATTCACTTTTTAAATTAGTTTATCATGACCAATAAGTACACAGATCTTACATGAATAGCTCAATGGATGCCTACACACATACACACCCCTGTAACCATCTAGATCAAGATATAGGATACTTTTTGCCTCCTGGGCTCTCATTCATGTCCTCATACCTCTGTGCAAGCTATACTTCTTTCATGAACTTTGGACTGAATTTCTATGCCTAAAGACAGTTTCAGAGATTGAGAAAAGAAGACTAAATTCTAAGGAGCAATAAATTCCAAGGGCAGATGGTGGCAAGTAGATACCATGGGTCATCCTGATTCAGAGCTTGCTGACCACAAAAATCACAGGAATATTGAGAAATAGAAATCAAGATCTAGGCTTTTGGGCTCATTGCTATTACATGCCACTGCTCCTGGGACGTGAGTCAAAAAAGGTGCTTTCTCACCACTATTCCACTCTGATCCTTGACCCAATTAAACAATCCCAACTAAATTCTGCTCATGAAGTCTCTCTCCCTTGACCACTCCTTGTTGCAGCAGCAGTGAACGAAGTGCTTGCCTCTGCCTCTAACTGCTATCAATTTTTACTTTGAGCCCCTCCCCCATAAGTAGCCATTACTCTGACTTCTAAAGTGCAGGTCAAATTTGCCTGTTCCCGAACTTCATATAATGGAATCATACAGTTTGCACTCTTTTGTGTCCGTCTTCTCACAAAATAACGCCTGGACAATTCATTTATGTTGTTGTATGGATCAACAGTCCATTCTTTTTCACTGCTATACAGAATTCCATTATATGAATACACGCAGAATTTATCCATTCTTACGTTAATGGTGACTGAGGTTGTTTCCAATTTAAGAATGCCTCCTTTGCCCAACACCGCTGCACGTGGGAAGTTAGGCATTTTCTCTCACATTTGGGATTGAGTGTATGGGTGGTTGAGAGGCGTCGATTCCCAAGACCCTCTCACAGCTCTGACAGCAGGCGTCACAAAAGAGTTTGCACCACTCCAAACAGTCAAAACGGGTCATCCCCCCCACCCCACCCCCGCCTTCTCTGGATTTTAAAGACTGAGTAGGAGGAGAAAATGGGGACGGAGTTCCCCTGGTTAATTCATTTATCTTAAGTTCCCGTAACCAAACTAGGCCCTCAGTTGAGGCTTTTGACCCTCAAAGTTCTTTCCGCTTCGTATAGTGAGATCAGAATCCCTGAAAAGAAGATGCTTGCCCTCCCCGGCTTACCATCCTTGGGCACTCGGCAGTGCGGGGATGCGGCTGCCCTATTTCCCGCGTAGAAACAACTGCAGGTGGCGCCGCCCGCTGAAGAGTGCAGAACTGTGGCCCTGAGCCAAGCTGGGGCAAATATGGAAGACGCGGGATGAGAGAGGGTGGGGCGAAAGGACGCTATGAAGATTCCTGGAGGGAGGGACCAGAGCAGAGGCGGTGAGTGGCAGGAGGAGGCAAATGTTCCCGCGACCGGGAACTTTATCGAGTTGAAGTTTCCTCTGCCGTCGCCTCCTGCTCGCGAGCAGAGCTGAGCCTGTTGTGCGGCCTTTCTGGAAAGCAGGTCGCCACTACCCTCGGCTTGGGACGCCGGCCCGCAAGGAGCCTCGGAGACTCACGCGTGGCCGCGCCTGAATCTGGCTACGCAGTGCGACTCTGCCGCGCATGCGCAGCTCCGTCCCCTTCAGAGGCGCGCGTGTGCTCGTGGAGGGGGCGCTTCCTCCAAAAGGAAAGCCAGAGGCGCTCAGGCCGAGATTGCCTCGCCAACCCCCTGCGCCCTCTCCTACAGACTGGTGCATAGTATTTTTAAAACATCTGCGAGGACGACGTCTTTCTGCGAGCCTGAGGAAGGGGCAAAACCAGGGGAAGAGGTGAGATGTATCCAGTTAACCAGGTAGAAATTGTACCTCCGGGACTCATCAAGGCTAAATATAAAAGTTGCGTGCTTTTTTTTTTTGTTTTTTTGAGACTGAGTCTCGCTATTGTCGCCCAGGCTGGAGTGTAATGGCGCAATATCGGCTCACTGCAACCTCTGCCTCCTGGGTTCAAGCGAGTCCCCTGCCTCAGCTACGATTGATTACAGGCGCCCGCCACCACGCCCGGATTTTTTTTGTTTGTTTTGTTTTTTTGTTTTTTTTAAGTAGAGATAGGGTTTCACCATGTTGGCCAGGCTGGTGTCTAACTCCAGACCTCAGGTGATCCGCCTGCCTCAGCCTCCCAAAGTGCTGGGATTACAGGCGTGAGCCACCATACCTGGCCAAAGTTGTGTGTTTACCAGGGACAACCCTGTGCTTTGAGTTCTCCCTGAGCTGTCAATCTCCTGTTATTACTAATCTGTCTACAGATGAGTAAACTAAGGTTCAGAGAGATTACATGACTTATCCATGTTATACAGTGATCAAGAAGTGGAGCCAGGATTTGAACCCATGAAGTCCCACTCCAAATTCTTTCATATAAGTTTACACGGAAAAAAATTTAGATAAGATGTTCAGGTGCCCTCTTTCCTGCCTGCTTAAAAAAAAAAAACCTGAAAGAATTTTTTAATTGTTTTTGTTTTCATAATTGATAATCGTGTGGGGAGTACTGATTCCCCAAGTGGGTCACAAGGAGTTATCCTGAGCAGGAATGCTCTTGCTGTCCCCCTTGCTCCTGTACTCAGTCTATCTCTTGAGGACACAGCACCAAGTAAATTTCACCGATTGAGTGCTCCTACATTCTAGAAAATGGCGCTCTACACTCACAAGGGCACGTATATAAATTGGCATTTCAACTATGTCTTCAACAGGCCATACCATCGCTCTTTTATGTTGGCCATTTCTGGGTGGTGCAGAATGTGATAGATCCAGTGGACTCCGTGGTCATGTGCCCACTGCTGTGCCTCCTTTGCAGTAAAATGGGTCCTTGGTCCCACAAGGCCGTGTGGGGTCCTGCGCTGGTGGATCTAAAAGTCTTTATGTCCTCAGAAAGTGTTGTGTTTGAGGCCCTGTGGGCAGCAAAGGCAAACCCAACATACTATATGGGTCTATTTCTGACTAAATACATAAATCATTGCACTTTCCAAAATGGAAGGGATCCAAGCTAGTCAGCTTGCCACCAAGCGGCTTCGCTGGTGTCTTCAAAGATAGCACTGTTCAGTTGGTCATTCTTGCTGGAAGGTTAAACATTTGGCAGCAGCAATAGCTAGATTGGCCTTGAAATAGAAGCCCATCTTTACTGCAACCACGTAGAGCCTCTATCGCCGACAATCATGGCTACTCCACCCACGCACCCATTATGCCAACATAGGGGTGGCCAACAACAGGCTGGCTCATGTCCATTGGCTAATTCATTTTGTCAACCTGATCCCTTACTATCTCTTCCATGGTTTATTCTAATGAGGGTTAACAGAGGTCCATCCACATTCCTCTACGCCAGACCTCCTCGTCCTGATCTTCTCATCTTTCCCCTCTGATCAGCCAACCACGTCATTCACCACTGTCCATAAGTCCAGACACATTTATACTGAAGCCACTCCTCTTGCCACAGAAAGTAGATCATTAGGAACACTACCGGAAGCTCTGCCTAGTGGGAGGACTTCTTTTCTTCTTACAAGGCCAGCTCAAAAAGTACAGCAGTGCAGCCACCATTTCAGCATGCCCCCACATGCCTAGCCAACTCATCCATGAATCAAGTGTGGGCTTCCTCTTCCACCATCTGCTGCTCATATGGGATCCCCTATCAGCCATGGGGAAGAGCTGAGGGAGGGGCACAGCAGTAGACAGCATGAGGATCCAGGCTTCTGTGCTCCTACAGTTCACATATTTCCTTCAGCCCTGCTCAAGTCGTCCTTCCATCTCATGAGGGATTGCTCTTGGAGATGCCTGACCTTCTGACCTAATGAGAATGAGAGAACCCAAATCATGATGAGCAGTTCTGCCACCTGATGTCCCACGGTCAGGGTTTTGTCTCTATCCAAGCTATGGAAGAATGCCAGGAGTTATTTTATGAAAAGCATAAAGTTCTGTACTGCAGATGGCAGTCTTGTTCTAGAACCCAAGGGGCTTGGGTTTTTATTCTCCCACTGGTTCACCATCTTGAAAACTCTGACATCATAGGATCTCCTAGATCATATGAACCAAGCACAGAGCCACTTCTACCACACAGCCTGCACCTGCTGCAGATCACTCTTCTGCTGTGGGCCAGATCAAAACTGGCAGCCTTGAAGGGAAGCAGAAATCCAAAATGTCTTTAAGATGAGTTTAAAGTTGTGTTGTTCAATACAGTAGCCACTACCCCCATGTGTCTACTGAGCACTTGAAATGTGGCTTATGACAAATGTTGAAATGGTAATACAATTGTGTTCGCAGCCGCCGCCGCGCTGCCTCTCGCTCCCCGAGCTCCAGCCGAAGGAGTAGGGGGGTAAGTAAGGAGGGCTCTGTACCATGGCTCGTACAAAGCAGACTGCCCGCAAATTGACCGGTGGTAAAGCACCCAGGAAGCAACTGGCTACAAAAGCCGATCGCTACTGTGCGCCCTCTACCGGAGGGGTGAAGAAACCTCATCGTTACAGCCCTGCTACTGTGGCGCTCCGTGAAATTAGACGTTATCAGAAGTCCACTGAACTTCTGATTCCCAAACTTCCCTTCCAGCGTCTGGTGCGAGAAATTGCTCAGGACTTTAAAACAGATCTGCGCTTCCAGAGCGCAGCTATGGGCACTTTGCAGGAGGCAAGTGAGGCCTATCTGGTTGGCCTTTTTGAAGACACCAACCTGTGTGCTATCCATGCCAAACGTGTAACAATTATGCCAAAAGACGTCCAGCTAGCACGCCGCATACGTGGAGAACGTGCTTAAAAATCCACTATGATAGGAAACATTTCATTCTTAAAAAAAAAAAAAAAGATTTCTTCCTGTTATTGGTAGTTCTGAACGTTAGATTTTTTTTTTCCATGGGGTCAAAAGGTACCTAAGTATATGATTGCGAGTGGAAAAATAGGGGACAGAAATCAGGTATTGGCAGTTTTTCCATTTTCATTTGTGTGTGAATTTTTAATATAAATGCAGAGGCGTAAAGCATTAATGCAAGTTAAAATGTTTCAGTGAACAAGTTTCAGCGGTTCAACTTTATAATTATAAATAAACCTGTTAAATTTTTCTGGACAATGCCAGCATTTAGATTTTTTTAAAACAAGTACATTTCTTATTGACGTCAACTAAATGGTGTTTGTAGCATTTTTATCATACAGTAGATTCCATCCATTCACTATCCTTTTCTGAGTTGTCCCACATGCAAGTACATGTTTTTAATGTTGTCTGTCTTCTGTGCTGTTCCTGTAAGTTTGCTATTAAAATACTTTAAACTATAAAAAAAAAAAAAGAAACGATAATACTTTGCATATATAGCATTATATAAAATGTATTATTGGCTGGGCATGGTGGCTCACACTTGTAATGTCAGCACTCTGAGAGGCTGAGGTGGGCTAATCGCTTGAGCCCAGGAGCTCAAGATCACCCTGGGCAACATAGCGAAACCCCACCTCTATTTAAAAATATAAAAATTATATTTTTTATATAATTTCCAAAATGGAAGGGATCCAAAATAAATAAAAATTATATATATTAAAAAATATATATATGTAACTGTTGAGAGCAATTTGTGATTTGGCCTATTTTTTGTGCATGTGTATAACTACAGGCATGGTGGCCTATTTTTTTGTGCATGTGTATAACTACAGGCATGGTGGCTTGTGCCTGTAGTCCCAACTACTCAGGAGACTGAGGTGGGAGGATCACTTGAGACCAGGAGGTCAAGGAAGCCATGATTGTGCCACTGCACTCTAGCCTGGATGACAGAGCAAGACCTTGTCTCAAAAAAATAACAAAGAAAGTATTATTGGCCAGGCGTGGTGGCTCATACTTGTAATCCCAGCACTTTGGGAGGCCAAGGTGGGTGGATCAGAAGGTCAGGAGTTCGAGACCAACCTGGCCAACACAGTGAAACCCCTTCCCTACTAAAAATACAAAAATTAGCTGGGCATAGTGGTGCGTGCCTGTAATCCCAGCTACTTGGGAGACTAAGGCAGGAGAATGGCTTGAACCTGGGAGGTGGAGGTTGCAGTGAGCCAAGATTGTGCCACTGTACTCCAGCCTGGGCAACAGAGCTAGATTCCATCTCAGAAAAAAAAAGTATTATTACAATTAATTTTACCTGCTTTTTTCTTTTCACAATGCTACTAGAGAATTTTAAATTACATTTATGCCTTGCATCATACTTCTATTTGACAGCAATGAAGCAGCAATCACCCATTTACAGATTTACCTAGCTTGTGGACTATCTGCCACTTGTGAGGTACTGAGCTGAGTGCCAAGGAGAAAAAGCTGAAAAAGACAAAGGATCAGCTTTCATGGAAGCTTCTTTCCTTTCAGGAGATGAGTGATTAGTGTCTTGTGTGATGCATGCCAAGAAGGAGGTGTCCCCTGGGTATGGGAGCATAGGAGAGTCGCATCCAAGTCATGCTGGGCAGTCAGGAAGCCTGTCTGGAGGAGGGGGTGGCTCAATCTCAAAAGACAACAGAACTTTATTAAACGTTAAGTAATCCAGAGGTGCAGGAAGAGCATACCGAGTCAGAGAAAACAGCTTGACCAAAGTCTGCATGACTCTGGCTGACTTTTTCCTTTTCAGGAAATTTTCTGAAAGCTTAGTAATTAAAGATGGCTATAGAGTTAGACTGTTCCTTCCAATCTTCTTTCCTTTTAGAGGAAGCATGAAAGAGAAACAATCAGATAAATATGGTAGGCATGAAGCACAAAAAAATAGGCCAAATCACAAATTGCTCTCAACAGTTTTTTGTGTATATATATACACACACACACATATATATATACACACACACACACATATATATATATATATATATATATATATATTTTTTTTTTTTTTTTTTGAGACAGAGTCTCACTCTGTTGCCCAGGCTGGAGTGCAGTGACGCGATCTCGCCTCACTGCAACCTCTACCTCCCAGGTTCAAGTGATTCTCCTGCCTCAGCCTCCGGAGTAGCTGGAACTGCAGGCATGCACCACTATGCCCAGCAAACTTTTGTATTTTTAGTAGAGACAGGGTTTCACCATGTTGGCCAAGCTGGTCTGAAACTCCTGACCTCAAGTGATCCACCCGCTTCAGCCTCCCAAAGTGCTGGGATTACAGGCGTGGGCCACCACACCTGGCAGAGCAGTAAATATTTGTATGTGCCAAATACTGGGGGCCAAAGGGAAGGGCTTCTTTGCCACATCACACAGCTTGCACTTAGGGGTGGTAATGCTGACAATTCTGTTTCATTTATTCAATCAGGAAATGAACTCCTCATACAGGCTATATTGAATAGTAATAATGGTCACCTGAAATTGTTAGTATTTGGCCTCCCCTGGAAGCCAAGATATCTGTATGAAAGACCCACACCTAAGAAGTAATACTGACAAATGTCAGACATTTGATTGGCACAGTATCTGAGGAGAGGGATTAGAGAAAGTTCTAAGAATCTATGACTCATCTATTCCATACAATCAAAATCCAAATCATAACTGTTAATGTCTTTGTAAATGAGTCAGACCTGCTGTGGTTCAGAGACTTTTCATTTTATGTTGATTTCTAAGAATTGCAAAGTTTAAGCCTCCTTGACTTTTACAAGCGTAGAAACAGATGGGGTTTAAAGAAAGAACTCATTAACTGCAAAAAAAAAAAAAAAAAAATCGAGAGCTTTAACATGACATGATTTTCTGCCTGAACAGTTTAGTTCTGCTTGTTGTGGCACTAAAATGGCTCATGTGCATAAACTGTCCATCGTACATTCTGGCTTCAGAGTCTGTGGTATGAAATCCTGGTACTGATTATTATGCTTAGAGTATGTACCACGTTAGTGCATTCATAATTAAAGGTCATGAACGATTAGTGAGGGTGGTGGGCATGCTCAAGAATAGACGGTTGCTCCTTTGGAGGAAGGAGGGTTGCTTGGAGTACCCTGTCTGCCTCTCATATAACTTAGTCTCAGTGTCTGGAGGGATGGGGGCACCACTGTTTGGGCAACTGACCCTATGAGGGATTAGTCACCAGGAGATGAACTGTGGTGACCTCAGATCTTGACTCAGGACTCTTTCTTAGCAGCCAGGGTCCCCAGTCTCCTCTGTGAGGAGGACACAGTGGCCATGTCCTGGCCTCTCTGCTGCTGCTGGACACTTTCCTGAGGTTGCTGCCCCTCACAAAGGGGAGCAGCTGTGATGTCAGCAACCAGACTGAAGAGGGACTTACTAGGGAATGTTTCCAAGCCAACTGCTAACGCTCCCACCTATTATTTGAGAAGCAAGAAACCCAAAACAAGAAGACAGGCTTCAGAACTCTCATCAGGCTTGAGTAGGAAACGCCACACATGATCAGGTAACAGACACCACACTGCTTTGGAGTCTATAAATTTATTGAGTAAAAACAAAATCAACGTCAGACACATTATATTTGATTGGGTTCAAATTTGGCTGATGTCCAAATGCAGCAGAGAAGAACAGAGGGGAGGAAGGGATATGGTGTTGCTGACAAGGGGACACTGAACAAAACAGTTTTCCTTTCATTGTAAAAGCAGGCATCGCACAGCTGGTGTGAGTCAATTAACCAAGGCGGGGAGGGAACTCAATGTTTTAGAAGCAGAGGGAAACCCAAAGTAAGCAGAGACTTTCAAGAGAGGAGAGGGCCAGAACACTGAGAGAAAAAGCTGCAGCAGAGGCCGGCTGGAGAACAGTGGTCAGATCTGCTGGGTCACTTGGGGAACACGGTGACCACTTCATAGCCCTCAGGTGGTGTGACTCGCTCCCGGGCATGCTTCTCACAGTAGATTTGATCCTCCACAAAGAAATGGCCCTTCTGTTTCAGGTTGGTGCCACAGTCAGTGCACACGTAACACTCAGGGTGGCGGTGATGGTCCCGCAGCTTCACGAACACACCGCTACAGAAGCAAGGCAGGGAAGGGACTCCATCAGTGACAAGCACCTGCAGGTGGCACCCGAGCAGGTGGCACCATCCTTCCTGAGCAGGGGCCTGGGGCTTCACCCAGAAACCAGGGCCTCCCAACTGGCCTCCAATCATAAGGGACTTGCTTCTCCTTCCCAGGGTCCAGAGACATTTTTCCAAAAACCCCTCCTACTTCAACAGGGCAGCCCTGATTTTTCTCATTTTACATGTTCATAACCTAAGGGCTCCACAGTGAAGGAAAACCTTCACAACCTGGCTCTGGGACATGGGACTTTCCTGGTCTCTCTGCTGCATTTTTCTGGGACGGATTTGTCTCCTTCACAAGCAAAATGTGCAACATCCAGCACTTTCCACATTTTCATGGTTTACCCAACCTGCAGGGTCTACAAAGGCTGTGGGAAGCAGATACTCACACAATCCCAGTGCCACATTTGTCACACATAGGCAACTTCTGAGCATTTCCAATCGATGCAGCCACTTTAGTGACAGGAGCTTTAACACTTCTGAATCCTGAGGGCTTGTTGGGATCCCCTGAAATGAGGAAAACACACTCATTGGCCAGGAAGGGCAGAATTGCTTAAGTATCACTCAGCTCTTCAGAAGCAGTTATAAATATATGTTCAAGCAAGGCCATGGGAACTGGAGTGACTCTGCTGTGTGATTCTGGGCAAGTTACTTAACCTCTCTGGTCCCCAGTTTGTTTTTCTATAAAACAGGAGATTGACACCTGGCCAAAAAAAAAAGCCCAATAAGCCAAGACAATCCTAAGCAAAAACAACAAAGCTGGAAGCATCATGCCACCCAACTTCAAACTATATTACAAGGCTACAGTAACCAAAACAACATGGTACTGATAGAAGAATAGATACGTACACCAATGGAACAGAATAGAGAACCCAGAAATGAGACCACACACCTACAACCATCTGATCTTTGACAAACCTGACAAAAAACAAGCAATGAGGAAAGGATTCCCTATTTAATAAATGGTGCTGGGAGACCTGGCTAACCATATGCAGAAAATTGAAACTGGATCCCTTCTTTACACCATATACAAAAATCAGCTCAAGATGGATTAAAGACTTAAATGTAAAGCCCAAAACTATAAAAACACTAGAAGAAAATCTAGGCAATACCATTCAGGACA